AATTCTAGTCTGTACAATACTGTTGAGGTTTTGTTTGTTTGTAAAAGAAATGTTTCTGCCATTTTTCTAGGCTTCCAGCAGTGCGGGGAATTTGGGGGTGCTCATTCCTGTAATTGCTGTGGTGAGTATTCACTTGTCAAATGATTTAAGTTCCAGCTACTCATGTTTGAGCAAATTCCTTAAAAAATGCTTTCTAAAATCTCAGTAATTCAGCCAGGCAGAATGGCTCACACCTTTAATCCCAGGAGGCAGAGGCAGGTTGATCTCTGTGAGTTTGAGGCCAGCCTGGTCTACAGAGCGAGATCCAGGACAGCCAGGGCTATATATCAACAAACAACAAAAACAACTAAATGAATGAATGAAATCCAGTGACTCTGTAGATACAGTCGTTTCAGTCACCACCGCCAACTCTGGGTGACAGCCCACAGGGGCAACTCTTCCTCTGCCAAAGACTTCCTCCGAGGTCTGGCAGGGAAGTTCCTCTTGCATGGCGCCGAGGTCTGGCCCTGCTCACGCTGTGCATCATGCCCTGGATTAGTGTCCTCCACCGCTGCGTTGCCTCCTTCCTTCGGCTTTCTCTCGTGTAACTTCTTGTTCTCCTGCAGACAGTGGGGCTGCAGCCCTGTCACTTCTGGAAACCTGGGGTACAGTGGGTGCAGGGCCTGCTTCCTGATGCAGCACAGCTGTGCTGGAGAGCCAATAGATATATAAAGTAATAGAGATAAAGTCTCATTGTGTAGCCCTGGCTGTCCTAGAACTCATTCTGTAGAAGAAGCTGTCCTGGAACTCACAGAGATCTGCCTGCCTCTGTCTCCTGAGTGCTGGGATTAAAGATGTAGGTCACCACACTTAGTTTCTGCAAATAACTTCTGTGAAGGTTTTTCCCCACTCTTGGTCATTCCCAGCAGCAGTCCTGAGCGACACAGTCACATCCCTCTCTTGCCTCTCTTGTTCTCGCCTCACCCTGTGCCATAGTTCAGGTCTTGAAAGTTTTGTCCATCAGCAGAGTCCACCTAGCTGAGCACTGGGGGTGCTAAGGACAAGAGAGTTGGACAGCCAAGTGGAGTCCTGTGTGTGTGAGAGAGAGAGGGAGAGGGAGAGGGAGAGGGAGAGGGAGAGGGACAGGGAGAGGGACAGGGAGAGGGAGAGGGAGAGAGGGAGGGAGGGAGGGAGGGAGGGAGGGGGAGAGAGGGAGGGAGGGAGGGAGGGAGGGAGGGAGACAGAGAGACAGAGAGAGAGGGAGAGAGAGAGACTTGCTGTGTAGCCTGGAGTAGTGCAGAACTCCGTGTACCCCAGGCTGGCCTTGAACTTGGCAGTCATCCTGCCTCCACCTTTCTCTGCCTTCCACATACTCAGATTGCAGGCATACAACACCATATCAGATTCACCTCTCCTCATACTCCTCTTGAGTGTTCTTCAAACCTTGGGATTTCTAGGCAGGTTATTTTTATTGCTCTCTAATCGTAAAAATGCATACATTTTGTGTAGTATCCCACATACTGTTGGCCGTCTTTTTGCCTAGGCACTCATTTTCTGACCTGTGCCTCCTGTGAGTTTATGTTGATGCCGAGTGAATGCTGTGTACTAGGACATTTTGTCTTCCTGAGGATGTTTGAGGAACAGTGAATGTTCCTCCCGAGGACCTTAATACCTTGGGCCTTGCCATCCCTGGTTCTCACTGCTCTTACACATTTCCACAGGGATGGAGAGATACTCAGTGGTTAAGAGCACTTGTTACTCTTCCAGAGGACCTGGGTTTGATTCCTAAAACCATATGGAGGCTCACAACCATCTGTAACTCCAGTTAGTTCTAGGAGAGCTGACAACCTCTTCTGACCTCTGTGGCACTAGGCACACACATGGTGCAAAAATCTATATGTAGGCAAAACACCCATACACATTTAAAACAAAAACAAAAGAACTCAGATTTTCAGGATTGTAAGATCCTTTCTATAATGGTATTTTCTCCTATGGACTGTTTTTTAAAACAAATTCTTCCACTTTGCATTAATGTCATCCAATATACGATTATGTTTTGGAGTGTCTTTGCGGACTGAAGGCTTACTTAATAATAGAGCTTAGCTAGTACATGCGAGGCTGAGTGTCAGGTTGCAGCAGCAGAAGCTGAGCTTTGGCTCTGTAAGTGCTCTCATATGTAAGCCTTCTGTTTGGCCTAGAGAGAAAGGTGAGGGGCATGAAACCCCGGTAGATGCTTTCTCAGCCTGTTGGAAAAGAGTCAGCAAGGCTCATGGAAAAGCATAGGTAGACAGGGTAGATGCTTGAGACAGCACTCCATCCCGAGCTTCAAAGGCTTTGAACATCCTATGACCCATATTCTTGGGAACTTGCTCTCCTCCACTCCCAGCAAAAACAGAGAGGAGATGGGGTTGGGTTGTATGTTGTTGTTTTTTAAGACAGGGTTTCACTGTGTAGCCCTAGCTGTCCTGGAACTCTCTCTGTGGACCAGGCTGGCCTCGAACTCACAGAGATCTGTCTGCCTCTGCCTCCTGGGTACTGGGATTAAAGGCATGCACCAGTAACACTCAGTTTTTTTGTTTTTGGTTTTTCGAGACAGGGTTTCTCTGTGTAGTTTTGATGCCTGTCCTGGATCTCACTCTGTAGACCAGACTGGCCTCGAACTCACAGAGATCCGCCTGGCTCTGCCTTCTGAGTGCTGGGATTAAAGACGTGCACCACTGCTGCCCGGCAACACTCAGTTTTTTTTTAATGGTTGGAAAACATTTCCTTTTTTTTTTTGAAAGAGAGAGAGAGGTCTCACTACATACCTTATTTATTAGGTAACAGCCCAATCTCAAACTCATGGAGACCCACCTGCCTATCTCCTGAGTAATGGGATTAAAGGTGTGTACCACCATGCCTGGCCCAATACAGGTTTTTTGTTGTTGTTGTTGTTGTTTTGTTTTTGTTTTTGTTTTATGTGTAAGGGCATTTTGCCTGCATGTATGCCTGTGCACCACACGAATCACTAGTGCCCACAGAGGCCAGGTCCCCTGGAACTGAAGTTACAAGCTGTTGTGAGCTGCCAAGTGTGTGCAGGGAATCAACTCTAGGGGACCAGTCAGTGCTCTTAACTGCCAAACCATCTCTAGCCCTCCATTCAGTTTTTTGTGGTGGTGCACACCCCGCACTTAGGAGGCAGTCTGGTCTACAGAGAGTGTCCCAGGACATCCAGGGCTACACAGTGAGATTCTGTCTCAAAATATAAAGTAGTAAGAGTAACTGTAGGTTAGCATACAAGATAATAGCTTTGACCGCTGCACCTTCATGTGTGTGTCATGTGCTATTCTCTTTGTCGCCTTTGCCCTGTTGGCCTCCCCTCCTGTAAACTTTCAAGTCTGTCTAGTAATGCTCATCTAGAGTGTAATCAGTTCATTCAAGAAATCTTCAAAGGACGTTTTGCTCTTTGAGGGTAGCAATGATGAGTGAAGTTTCTTGGGAGCACCCAGGTTTCAGGGTCATAAAGGCCAAGGTTGAACTTGTAGTTGTTTGTGTTTGTGGGGTTCTGAGTGTCTGAGGCTCTCTGTACAGGGTCAGTACAGGCATTACTGTGATGAAGGACATCTCAGAACAAACACTCCTAAATACCCCCAACCTTTGTACTTTGTATGAGTAGAATGAATATTATCTTGTTTGTTTTTTTGTTTTTCAAGACAGGGTTTCTCTGTGTAGCCCTGGCCTGTCCTGGAACTCACGGAGATCTAACTGCCTCTGCTTCCCAAGTGCTGGGATTAAAGGCGTGGGCCACCACTGCCCAGTCGAGTACTATCTTTTTTTTTTTTTTTTTTTTTTTTTTTTTTGGTTTTTCAAGACAGAGTTTCTCTGTGTAGCTTTGGAGCCTGCCCTGGAACTTGCTCTGTAGACCAGGCTGGCTTTAAACTCACAGAGATCCGCCTGCCTCTGCCTCCCAAGTGCTGGGATTAAAGACATGAGTACTATCATTTTTAATTGGGGTCAAGAAAAAGATTTTGATGTAGATTTAAGCATGGTGTTGAAAGAGGAGACAGGGGCACATTGCCAGGCAGCCAGGCACACACTTAACTGCAAAAGAACAGTTATACACGCCCCAGCGTGGGTGTGGACTTCCCGGGAGTATTGTATTTTTAACAAAAGTTAATGGTTATATGATGGGGGAGGAAACAAATATTTGATTTAATTGCTCAACAGAGAGCCGAAAAGGGTCATGGGTTTTTGCATTTGCTTCTTAGTGACCTCGTGTACCTTCTGAGAGATTGCTTTCCAAAGGTGGTGTGGGGCTGTTGTTTGTTGTGTGGGTTTTAATATTTAGTCTTTTGTACTATTTGTCGTTGTTGTTTGTTCATTTCTTTTTCAAAGAGAAAAGAGTTTTGGACTTTTAATGATTCAAAAGGGCTGGTGGATTTGGAGCCAAACGCTTGGCTCTTGCTCCTAATGCATCTTCAACACCCAGTTACCTCTGGAAACTGGAGTGCTGGAATTGCTGTGAAGCTGGGTCATGTGGTTGTGGGACTCCTCCTGCTTAGTTAGGGATCCCTAGCTTCTGACTTTGCAAACTTATTTCTTCATTGCTTTGCTGCTATTGAGCTCCACTTAAGGCATCTGACACTTGGACACCTGGTCTACTCAGTTAGAACATGGTGGCTGATGGAGATGTCCCACTGAGAGCAAGTTCATCTTCACCCCAGGTAGTTTCATGGACTTAGACGGGTTATATCCTTTTCTAGATCAGAGACACTTTTGCAATCTTTATACTTCCGTTCCACAGAAGTACATCTTTGAGCCAGGCGGTGGTGGTGGTGCAGCCTTTAATCCCAGCACTCGGGAGGCTGAGGCAGGCGGATCTCTGTAAATTTGAGGCCACCCTGGTCTACAAAGCAAGTTCCAGGACAGACTCCAAAGCTACCACGGAGAAACCCTGTCTCAAAAAACCAAAAAAAAAAAAAAAAAAAAAGAAAGAAAAGGAAAAAAATACATCTTTGTTCACAATGTGTCTCATGAAAAAACTGTCCAGGGCCTCTAAGTTAGGAGCTCCTTGGTAAAGTGCTTTCTTAGATTAGAACACGAAGTGCTTACCCCTGGTCTAGACCTTGTCCAGGTATTACCACCTCACAACAGCCCTGCGAGACCACTGCTGCTTTTATTTCCATTTTACAGATAAGCATAGTGAGGTATAAAACCTGCTCAACATCTCATAGCTACTAGGCATCGGATTTGAGTCCAGGAAGCTTGGCCCGGAGCCTGCACTGTGAGTTAATCCTCTACTGCTTTGAGAAATGGTAGCTAGTCTCTTTAAGAGGGTCCCAGGGATTCCAAGTAGATGTAAGTAAGTAGGGATCATGGAGACGAGAGGGGCCTGCCCTGTGCAGGAGTCTGGAGCAGCCTAGGCTGCTGTGGCTGGGCTGGGGATTGGAAGTGACATGACAAAGGGCTGAGGACGGGGCAGGGGAGGTCTTTGTTTAGAGACAGGACTTTACCTTCTAGTCCAGGCTCTAACTTTTAGGCTCAACTAATCCTAACCTCAGCCTCTGAAATAACTGGGATTACAGGGACATATCCATCCAGCTTTTTAGGACACAAGTTTGAGATGACTACATTTAGAAATGTAAGGAGCGGGCTGGAGAGATGGCTCAGGGGTTAAGAGCACTGGCTGTTCTCCCAGAGGTTCTGAGTTCAATTCCCAGCAACCACATGGTAGCTCACAACCATCCGTAATGTGATCTGGCGCCCTCTCTGGCCTGCAGGCAGAACACTGTATACATAATAAAAATAAATAAATCTTAGAAATGTAAGGAGCAAGAAAAATTGCCAACAAACACCAGAAAAGAACAGTGTTAAAACAAATTGAAGGAAGGAAGTGACGGGCCATCATTACTCAGGCTTTCTAAGAAGCGGAAACGATGTAATGGGGAGACTTTCCTCAGTCCCTTACTGTCTTTTCTCAATAGAGTGCTGGTAGAAGACAGTTAGCGAGGTTGCGGGTCCTGGAGCCTACCTACCTGGGGTCTAGGCCTGTCAGATTACCCCCTTCTGTAAGTTGCCCTTGCTTCCTCAGCTGTCAAGAGGAGGTGATGAGTGTGAGCTCCAAAGCCAGCAGCATCATGCGTATAGCAGTGTCCGTGTGCTGTGTTCCCCGCACTGGAGATAGCGTGCCCTTCTCACTGTTCCCATTACTGGCATTGCTTCAAGTGGTCGGAGTCATCTGTGACTGAAACTCCCTACAAGACCCTCAAGTCCAGCAAGCCTGGCCTTGGTCCCCAGCCCCACCTTGCAGCTGTATTTTGTGCATGTTTTAGAACCCTTCCAGCTCTTGCATTGTTGGGAAATAAAACTTCTTCCTCTAAGGTGTGGGGATTACAGTGAGTTAGCCTGTATGCACAGAGCTTGTGGCTGCTGCTCCTATTACAGCCGCCGCTGGTCCCCACTAAAGGCACATCTTGATCCATGCCTTCTGAGCAGCCTTTGGAGCCTTGTGAATGATCCCAAATCGTATTCATTGGATGTTGCCAGCTTTATCGGACTAGACCTCCTACAGGGCCACGTCTGAGAGATGGAAGTTAAAGCGTACAGCTCACAAAAGACTGAGTTTCTGGCTCATGACACTAGAGCACTTGTCTCAGGCATTCCGTCACATCAGACTGGTACCCAGGACTCACACCTTGTCTTTGTCCTGAGTCTGCCTTGTTTAGTGTGTTAGTCACCGCACAGCACTTGAGTGACTTCCTGTCATCTTTTCTTTCTTAAGGGTGTTTTTCAACTTGCCCTTTGTTATTTGAGCTGAAAAAAAATAGAATTATGCTGGGTGTTGTGGTACATGCCTTTAGGGATCCCAACACTCAGGAGTCAGAAGTAGGCAGAACTCTGATTTCAAGGCCAGTTGGTCTACCTAGCAACTTCCAGTCCAACCAAAGCTACATAGTGAAACCCCCTTTTTTTAAAAAAAAAAAAAAAAGAATTATAACAGATACACAGTAAATATAGTTGTTTATTTATTTCTAGAATAGGATCTGTAGCCTTGTGTACACACCTAGGTAACCTGTGAGGCAGCAGGAGAGGAGGAGATGGTCCCAGCATCTCAGGTGTGTTGAGGTTACTTTTCCACTGGCGGGAACTGTGCTGCTTGGGCATCCTCCCTGGGAGGGGGAAGCCTGAACAGCCTTCAGATGGGGACTGTTTGAGAAGAAGCCTTGAATAATAAAGCTGATGAGGCCACCCGCAGAGAGAGGGTCACATGCACTCCAGTGGTTAGCTCTTAGGGGCACAGGAGTCGGGGCTGAGGCAGTCTGTATGTTGCCAGGACATTCTGGGGAATGGCTAGCACTAGAGTTAGTACATTAACTTCTGTGGTCTTGTGGCCTTGTTTACTGTGCCAACTTCTTAGTCCTTGGTAACTTTTTTCTCCTATGTGGGCCTTAAATTCAGATATTATCATAAACCACGTAAGTTATCATATCAAAATATCTCTGCCCTCTTTGTTAGACTGAGAACAGAATTACAGTGTCCCCAAACTACAGCAGGTGCCCAGACTGCCACCGTTAAGACCTGGTGGGGTTGGCCACTCTCCCCATGAAGAGCAGGCAGCTGGTTCGGTGCTCATACACTAGAAACAGGAAAGGTCGGTCAACTGTGAAGCGGACTTGGGTAGACAGCGGCATGAACCCCACCGTGGTCACAGCTGCGGCTTGTGTGCCCTCTTCATCCACCGTGATGGTGCTTCGGTGCTTAAACTGTTTAAAGCAGAAAGGGAAGGTGGCAGTTGTGTCGGCTATCATGGGGCAGGAGGGGGGAGCACCTGGTTAAGACTCATCATCAGAGGAAAGTTCCAGAGACCTTACATAAGACAAAAGTCACACCTAGTCAAAATGGCCCTTAAATGACCTTTGACCACTTGGTGGCTGTGATTAGAGTCTCTGTCATATCTCATACACTCACTCTTAAACACTAGAACTACATTCACTGTTGACCATGTCCATAGTCTGAGAGGCCTTGGGAGCCAAAATAGCCACCCAACCCCGTATCCTTAAAACTGGTCCCAGGCCCACCAGGAGGCTGGGAAGAGGCAGCAGCAGTGCAAGGCAGGATCTGGGGACCAACACACAAAGGGAGCCATTACCAGGTCAACAGTGATCCATTGCTCTGAGATGCCTGACATGTTGCCGTTTTTGTTGAACAGCTTTGTGATTCCCATGGACTTGAGGACCTCCACCAGGTTGTAGTTCTTCTCAAGCTTAAATTTGGGCAGAAGTACCTCTCGAGTTCTAGTTGGAGAAGAAGGAAGCCAATTTTATGGATACAAATGACAAAACAGTTACATTTCCCCTGCTAAATTTACACGGTCTGCAGTGGGTTGCATTTACCGTGGAGCTGACATTTAAAATGTGTGTATTGGCACTGTCGCTTGAGGGTTTTGGAAAAGCCATCCACCGTAAGTCCAGTCACAGCCCTTATATCAATGAGTGTCATCAGCCACAGAGTCCAGGTGCAGGGAAGAGTGCATCTGCACGTGTACGGCCTCTTTGTTCTCGTCATTCTGTAAGTGGTGTAGTAGAACAACTGTTCCCCAAGTATTCAGTGTTTGACTTACGGTCTGTGGGGGAATGTGCATAGGATAGACATAGTGTTAGGCTGCTTTATACACAAGGAACAGGAAGGCCTTGGGTCTGACTAGAGCGTGAAGGAAAGGACCAAGGGAGGAAAAAGGAAAGATGCTAAACAGAGCCAACCAGGCAAACTCAGAGCCAGCTAGAAGCTGGCCAGGCTCCTCATGTTGGGAGTCCACAGGGAGGAGGAGGGTGAGGGGATGGAGTGAGTGCTGGACTAGGAGAGAACTCAGGGTTGATTTGGCCTCACTGACTCCAGCACCAATGAGGGGATGACACAGGAAGTAAGTACAGAAGGGATGTTTTTGAACAAATCCACAGGCCTTAATACCATCATACCTGGGAAATCCACCTTCCTCTAAAAATCTGCTTCTGAGATTTCATATTTAGGGTTTTTATTTTGCTTTAATTTTTACTATTATTATTTATTAATTTATGTATTGTATGCATGCATGCATATTGCCCAGGGTATGTGGTATGTGTATAGAGGTCAGATAAAGGACGACTTTCAGGAGTCTTCTCTCCTCCACCACGTGGGTCCCGGGGATTGAACTCAGGTACATAGGCTTGCAGAAGCATGGTACCTGTTGAGCCATCTTGCTGGCCTGTGTTTTGTGTTTTTGGAAACAGGGTCTCACCCTTCCTAGACTGACCCTGTACTCAGGATTTCCTGCCTCAGTTTCCCCAGTGCACTACTCTGCCCAGCAGTATCTTGTTTTGTTGCATTTTTTTGTCTCTCTTGTCCAACAGATTCCCCTCTCATTATGAGCCTAACCAGTAATTATCTCGTGACACAGAAATATAACCCAGTTCTCTGCTCTTTCTGCTGTGGTCCAGTAATAACTTCGCAAATTTTTTTTTTTTTTTTTTTTTTTGATTTTTCGAGACAGGGTTTCTCTGTGTAGCTTTGCGCCTTTCCTGGAACTCACTTGGTAGTCCAGGCTGGCCTCAAACTCACAGAGATCCGCCTGGCTCTGCCTCCCAAGTGCTGGGATTAAAGGCATGCGCCACCACCACCCGGCTACTTCGCAAATATTTAACATCAACAGTTTCAACTATAAGTCATCATCAAGGAAAATCATGAGTGAGTTAAAAAAAGAACTTGGGGTTTCCTGGCAGGGAAGGAGAGCTATCTTTCTGGGAGCCTCTTATATTCTAGGCACTGGGAGTAGGGGAGCTGGGGATGGGAACAGTCAGCCCACCTGTTCTATTTATTCTCACCTTGAGTTCTGATAAGTAACATAATTAGTCGATTGAATGGGGCTAAGAGCCACAAAGTGTGGTACAGGAAGTAGATGGAGGTTATTCCTAAGATGACTGAAGCTACCTGTCCCTGCCTTCTTTGTGGAGGGGATGGCTTGCTCATCAGTGCTCCCGCTGAACAAGAAATCCAGGCTGAAATAAACAAGTGTGGCCTATGTGGCAATTCTTGGGTTCTTTTGCATACATCCCCCTTTTAAAAAAACAAACACAAGCTGGTGGAACTGAGTCAGATGGCTCACACCTATCCTGGCCCTTGTCAGGCTGACGAGGGAGGAGGGTCACTATCTGCACTACATAACACGTTCCAGGCCAGTCTGGGCTACAGAGTGAGACCCTGACTCGGGAGGGAGGAAGGGGCAGAAATCAGCCATGGCTTCAGTACTGTTAGATACCCCAGCCCAAGAACGAGAAGAAGCGATGTCCTGAGGTACCTGTTCGTCATGCTTTTTTGCCATCTCTCTACTACCTGGGGCGTCAGCTGCGCCTCAAGAGTCTTCATTCCCGACAGCTTGCGTGGGATCACAATTAACATGCTGATGCCCCCTACATACTCCAGCTGCAGAATGTCACAGTCCAGCTCCTGGTCACTTGCTGCAAGGAAATTCCCTTTAGTCTGCATCATGGAGACTTTAACTACCTCTCGCTCGTTGAGCCGGAAGTTGTGGTTGTGTGTCATTTCTACTGGGAATTTATTCACCCAAGTTCCTGTAAAGTCAAAAGAAGCAGGCAGTTGGTAGAAAGTCCTTTAGAATGTGACCTTTGCTTTTGAACATCTGCCCTTGGAGGACTCTCTAGGACTAGTTCCCAGGGTCTTAACAAGAGAAATGTAAAAGACCACACGGCATTATGGATTAGATTCTGACACTGCTCATTTGTCCCTGACAGATACCTATTTTGCCTGGGCCTCTAATTATTTGTAAAGCAAGTAACCCTTTGAGCCTTCACACTGTGGTTCTCTAGCATTTGGCAGGACACATATCTGTATAATGGTATCCTCAGAACCTTCCGTGTTGGTTGGGTATAGAGCTATTATTCAGGAATAAATCTTAGCTCTAAGATACTCATTATAATGTTGGTAGCTAGTTGCCAACAGGCCACATGCCTGTTGCACCTTTCTTGTATTATCTCATGTTCAGCTCCTAGAAGCTATATGAAATAGATGCTTTTAATTTTCATCCATACTTTTTGGATAAAGTAACAGAGACACAATGAAGTAAGGTGACTTGTTCAAGGTTTCCATCTGGTACATAGAGCAGCTGAGATGAGAAGAGCGGGCATCTTTGGAGGACGGTTAAACACCAGACAGCTCTGGCCTCCTCGTGGCTGCAGCTCAGCTGCCGCCTCTAAGTCAGCCACACCCAGAGTTTCTAAACCAGACAATTCACTGTAGTGTGGGGACTGTCTGTGCTCTGTGAGGCTTTAACAGCATTCTTAGGCCCTCCCAGCTTGACACCAGCTTAAGCTGTAATAGTTGCTAGTGCCTACAGATATCTGCTTCAGACGCTTTGGAAATCCCTGCTCTTCCAGCAATGATGGGAAGAGGCTCTAACAAAGCAGTTATAACTCATAGAGTTAAGTTAATAACAGAGATTTGGGAATTAGAAACTAAAATTATACTTAAAAAATTTTCTAACCTTTAAGGTACATCCTTCTCAGCCAGGCGATGGTGGCACATGCCTTTAATTCCAGCACTCCAGAGGCAGAGGCAAGCAGATTTCTGTGAGTTCAAGGCCAGCCTGGTCTACATAGTGAGTTCTAGGACAGCCAGAGCTACATAGTGAGATCCTGTCTCAGAAAACAAACGAACAAGAAGATGCCCCCTTCTGATTCCCAGCACTGAGTCCAGGCAGTGTTCCAACACAGTAGGGAAAGGCACTCCGACACCTCAGTGTAACGTGGGTTACTGCATTCAAGAGACAGTGTGAGCATGTCTAGTCTGTTCTATGTTCCCTCTTGCTCCAGTGCTGACAGAATAGCCTCTTGGTTCAGAATTTCAAGTATGACTAATGTAGAGGCTGTGGGCAACCAGCAAACTGAACACTGAGGGCTTTGGTGGTACTCCACCAGCCTGTTCTGAAGCCATTCCCAAGCGTAGCCTGATTGCTTATGAAAGTGAATGTTACCTGCAATACCATACATACTTCTTGTCCTATTGAACTGTATTATATACGCTTCTTCGGGTTCCTGTGCTCACTGTTTACAGTGAATGTTACCTGCAATACCATACATACTTCTTGTCCTATTGAACTGTATTATATATGCTTCTTCAGGTTCCTGTGCTCCCTGCTTACAGTGAATGTTACCTGCAATACCACACATACTTCTTGTCCTATTGAACTGTATTATATACGCTTCTTCAGGTTCCTGTGCTCACTGTTTACAGCGCAGTCTCTTCAGGTCTCTGCATAGCAAGCTCTAGACTAGCCAAGGCTACATAGGGGAACCCTGTCTCAAAAGCAAGAAGTACCCTGAGAAGTTGTGTTTCTAACAGTCACTGTAGCTGTGCAGTTTCCAGAAGAACTTCTTTAGCTTTTTGTCCACATTTCTACTCACTGATAATTGGGAAGATAAATGAAATCTTAATCCACACTGGCCAAACACTTAAAAAAAAGAGCTTATATTATTTCTTCCAATTAATAAACCATTAGAGGGCCAGGCAGTGGTGGTGCATGCCTTTAATCCCAGCAAGTGGATCTCTGTGAGTTTGAGGCCAGCCTGATCTACAGAGTGAGATCCAGGACAGGCACCAAAATTATACAGAGAAACCCTGTCTTGAAAAAATAAAAACAAAAACAAAAAAGTTGGAGATAGGTTAGAGAGATCCATCCTGAACACTAGTCTTTACCGTTGGGGCATCTTTTTTTTTGGGGGGGGGGTTGGATTTTTAAGACAGGGTTTCTCTGTGTGGCTCTGGCTATCCTGGAACTCACTTTGTAGACCAGGCTGGTCTCAAACTCACAGAGATCTGCCTCTGCTTCCTGAGTGCTGGGATTAAAGGTGTGAGCTCCCTTAGGGCATCTTGCCTCTATGCTTTGGTGAATTTGTAAAACAAGGATCCTGATAGCTCTACACCATGATACCTACTACATGGAAATCCAGTGAGTGTAAAATGATAGGTTTAGTAGCTACCATCTCATCGTGTTCTTCCATGTCCCAGAGTCGACCTAGTGTCTTATTTTCCTTCATAAATTACAGCTACAATACAGCTCTTAGCATTGTCTTTTTGTATACCAGACGGCTGCATTGTGAGTTTCCTTTGAAACCAATTCTTACCTTTGAAGTAGATGCAGTTCAGGATCATCATCTGAGTAGCAGGATCTATATTTTCCAGAGCTTCTTTTATGAGGCCCTTGGTGAGCTTCAAAATGCGGTTGTTTGCCTTCGATATGAAGGCAGGATCTGAGAAGTCACCTACCTGGGCCTCAGCAAAGTAAAACTCCCTCATATCAGCTTTGAAGTCCTCCCGGATGGGAAACTGCTTCTGAATATAAAGGTTGTTAACTGACTGGAGCGTGTACCCAAAGTTCCTCCTGAATAGGCGATGGGTCAACTTTCGAAAGAGATTATGAATGGTGGTAATCTCATACTTGCTGCTAGCATTGACAAAGTCTTTAAAGTGTAGAACTGAGTGTACTTCCTCATGGGTCTCTCCTCTCAAGCCTAAGGAAATCATCCCCATGGCAGTAGAAATGCCAACAGGTGCTAGGAAGATGTTATCGGAAGTGGGGGCCTGGTCCTTCAGGACTCGGTAAAGGTTGAAGGCAAACTTTGCATTGAGGATATTAAGACGCTGGATCCGGCTCTTGCCTTGGAAAAGCTGCAGGATGTTCCCAGCACTTGATTCTGCGTCTATCGGGGAAACTGCATCAATGATGTAAATGTAGTCGTCATCTTCACTGAATAGCTTCTCCAAGTCCAGATAGTCCTCCTCCTCCTCCCCCTCTGGAATCCAGTCATTGGTGACTGTGTTTTCTTTGTGGAAGTTAGCAGGCAGGAAGGACATGCTCAAGTTTTCATTAGCTGGCTGCTCAGCAAGGCCATTGCTCCCAACACACACAGACATGAGGACAGGAAGAAGAAGAGGGTGGAAGGGATGCTTCATGTTTGCAGAGCTAAAGCTGGTACAGAAACAGACACCAGTGAGAGGCAGCCTGGCTCCATCCTGCTGAAACATCCAGACAATGGGTTCTCCATATTCTAAGGGATAGGCCCTAAGGACAAAGGCTGGCAGCAGCTATTTCCAAGCGTGGGTAGTTTTGAGTGTCCTGGCACTCTAAGGCAAGCAAGGCAGAACACTTGACATCAGGGAGCTGGGGGCTTAACCAGCTCAAGTCTAGTCATTCATATCTAGTTGTCATTACCTACCATCCGTCAGTCCCTACATTTTGGTGCTAGGGACTGAGCCCTGGTCCCATGCAGTGTGGGTGAGAGTAGTTAATATTTAGCTATATCCCTAACTCAAACCACTGCCATCTCTCAGTAGCAGCGAAGGAAGGCTCCATCTCATGACAGGCTGAAATGGCAGGAGTATTTCAAGGTGGGCATCCACACAGCTAGTCCCTAACTGTCTACAGGCTTAACAAGTACAAATACTTAGACAGGAGCCAGGAACTCTTATTTGATCTAGACTGGCAACAGATCTTCTAAACACAGAAAGAGACTTGTTACAGCACCAGCTCTTACACCAGCTTAGGATGCCAACCTTGAAGAGAATCTGATAAGAAATAAACATACAGCTAGTGTTAGTGTTCTGTGTGTTTCATACATCTCCTGGGATCTGTGAGCCCCTAGACCAGTGGTTCTCAACCTTCCTAATGCTGCAACCCTTTAATAGAGTTCCTCAGGTTGTGGTGACTCAACCATAACATTATTTCATTGATACTTCCTAACTGTAATTTTGCTATGAATCATAAATATCTGATATGCAGAATCTCTAATATACAACCTCAAGGGGATTTGCAACCTACAGGTTGAGAATCATTGCCCTAGATAATTTTTTTTCTTCTTTAAATTTTTTTAGATTGTTTTTGTATTTATTTATGTATTTGTTTGTTTGTTTGTTTGTTTGTATGGGTGGACAGGTTTGCCATGTTACATGTGTGGAGGTCATAGGACAACTTGTAAGAGTCACTCCTTCCACCATGTGGGTCCCAGGGATTGAACTCAGGTAGTCAGCTTTGGCAACAGGCACCTTTACCTGATGAACCATCTCATCAGCCCAGTTTTTTTTATTATTTGTATGTGTCTACACACACACACACACACACACACACACACACACACACACACACACACACACACACGCTACAGTCCGATGTTTGGGTGGAGATAGTTCTCTCCTTCCACCTTTATGTGAGTTCTGGAAATCAAGCTGGTAGCCATGCTTGTACAACAAGCACCTTTACCTGCTGAGCTGACCTGAGAATCCCTTCTTTTTTGGGGGGGGGGGGGATTTTTTTTTGGTTTTGTTTGTTTGTTTGTTTTGTTTTTGAAGACAGGGTTTCTCTGTGTAGCTTTGGAGCCTTTCTTGGAACTCACTCTGTAGCCCAGGCTGGCCTCAGACTCACAGAGATCACCTGCCTCTGCCTCCTGAGTGCTGGGATTAAAGGTGTGCGCCATCACTGCCTGGTGAGAATCCCTTCTTTAATGGAGTGAAAAAAGAGGGAACTTGGGAGATTCTTAGAGTTTCTTTTTCATTTATTCACCAAACACCATCATCTGTCTCCAGAAAACATATCTGGCACTAAAGGCGCTAGGTTTTCCTACTGAAGAACTCATAGGACAGACAGGAAGTGAATTCAACGTGTTTTCAAAACAGTACTGCCCAGTGTGGGGCGGGAAAGGAGGGTAAGGCTGTACCTGTTAGGGTGAGAGTAGAGGAACCCAGAAAGTTAAAGAGGTTTCGTAAGAAGTGAGCTTGAGTGAGTACCTGAGACAGGAGAGGAGTTTCCAGTGGAAGGGGTGAGCCCTACCTGTAAGCCCAGATCACTGCTCAGCTGGGAGGAGGGGAGGAGTTCTGAACATACAGGAGCCAGACTTCTAGAAACGTGTCTTGGATGGCTGTGCTCTGTGCAGTCCTTTGGGGTTAATCTGTTTAAGATTTGGAACCTAGCAAGACTCCCTTAGGACCTACTGAAGGAGTGTGGCTGGGGGCCTGTGTCCCCTGACGCTCTCAGAGGCTGACGGGTTATGTGACTTGCTGTGGGAGAACTTCGCTGTCAGAAGAAATCTTTCTACTTCCTGCTTCCAATCTCACTGTGCAGACAGGGTCTGTGGGGGGTCAGAGGCTCACCCTTTATAAAGGTCTTTAGACAGTTAGGGACTAGCTGTGTGGATGCCCACCTTGAAATACTCCTGCCATTTCAGCCTGTCATGAGATGGAGCCTTCCTTCGCTGCTACTGAGAGATGGCAGTGGTTTGAGTTAGGGATATAGCTAAATATTAACTACTCTCACCCACACTGCATGGGACCAGGGCTCAGTCCCTAGCACCAAAATGTAGGGACTGATGGATGGTAGGTAATGACAACTAGATATGAATGACTAGACTTGAGCTGGTTAAGCCCCCAGCTCCCTGATGTCAAGTGTTCTGCCTTGCTTGCCTTAGAGTGCCAGGACACTCAAAACTACCCACGCTTGGAAATAGCTGCTGCCAGCCTTTGTCCTTAGGGCCTCTCCCCTAGAATGTGGTTAAAATTAGCATTTCCAACATTTTTTGTCATAACTGAGGAGCTTTTTAAAAAGGCATTGTGTATCTCAGGCTAGCCGAAACCCCTGTTTAGCCAAGGGTGACCTTCAGTTTCTGATCCTTTTGCCTCTGCCTCCTTAGTTACAGGCCTGTACCACCATACCTATTCTGTATAGTGCTGGGGATGAACAGGGCTTGGCAATGTTAGTCCAACACTCTACCAACTGAACGACATCTCAGCTCACTGAGAGACTTCTGAATTGCTTATTTTGGAGAAAGAGTCACATGGTTTCTGATTTCGAATATGTCTGTTGTCTTTTCCGACCCTCTTCAGCATTTTGCTGAGATTGGTGGCCATGTGGTCTTCCCATGTGGAATAATTTCTAGAAATGGTGTCTAATGTATGTAGCTGCAAGTAGAACTGGACCTAGTTTCATTGATGTTACAATTAAAGAAAAGAACAGGGCTGGAGAGGTGACTCAGCGGTGTATTTCCTGCTTTTCATAGGAACAAGAGATTCAGGTCCCAGCCCTCCAGTCAGGTGATTCACACCCATCTCTAACTCCAGCTCCAAGGAATTTTGACATCCTCTGGGCGTCTGCACACATGTGGCACACACAAGTGCTCATACACAGACAAATGCAAACACACACACACACACACACACACACACACACACACACCTTGATGCAACAAGCAGAAGCAACTTAATGGAAGTGTTTTTGTATGATCACACTTAAAACTATCCTCAGCTAACACAGTAATTAGTAATAATAATGTTAAAGAACAAAACAGAAGGCAACTTCAACTCATGCGGCTCAGGAGACAAGGCTGAGCCACACAGTAAAGATCTTCTTCATCCTCTCCTGGCACTCAGAGTATTCTTGGAAGCCGGTTTGGTTTAGGGGGGTTAAACATCATATACCCTGTTCCTGCGTTGTATGTTCAAAAGCTGTAAGCCATAAATTTCGTTATTCTCTTACTGGAGAAAGGAGAAAATGTAAAGGTATCTTCAATGCATTAAAAAATTGGAGCTCTAGCCGGGCGGTGGTGGCACACGCCTTTAATCCCAGCACTTGGGAGGCAGATCAGGTGGATCTCTGTGAGGCCAACCTGGTCTACAGAGTGAGATCCAGGACAGGCACCAAAACTACACAGAAAAACCCTGTCTCGAAAAAAAGAAAAAAAAAACCCAAATGAAAAATGAGAGCTCTAACAGGTAAATCTTTCTATTTTTCTGGTCATCTTCATTAAGGCATTTTAAAACACCTCTAAGTTGTATGTACATTCAAGTTGCTATCTTTAAATTGAAGTACTATAATTTTAAGATAAATCATCAAAACTTTGTTTTCATGGGAACATCATCTAACATGTTCTTATGGGTTACATAGAGTAGAATTGGCCTTTTTGGTCATGTGTCATAGAGAACACCCTCTCCTGCCTTGATGTCTCTAGATCGAGCCAGACCAGAGCAGGAAGGGAGAGAAGTAGTTGCCAATAATATGGAAACTTTTTTTTGGGGGGGGGGGAGTTCGAGACAGAGTTTCTCTGTGTAACAGCTCTGAGGGCTGTCCTGGAACTTGCTCTGTAGACCAGGCTGGGCTTAAACTCACAGGATCCATCTGCCTCTGCCTCCCAAGTGCTGGAAAACCTTTTTATGTTGAAATAACTTCAAACTTACAGAACAGTGGAGCAGCTGATGTGCCTCTTTTACTGTCATTGGATTTTACATTTCTGTGTGTGCAGGTATGTGGAGTGTGTGTGTGTGTTTGTGGTGTGGGGAGTGTGTGTGGACTGTGTGTGTATTTGTGGTGGGGGGTGGTGTGGGGGAGATGTGTGGGGGAGGTTGTGGGGGGGTATGTGGTAGAGGGTGTGGGATATGTGTGTGTTTGTGGTGTGCGTGTGTGTGGAGTGTGTGTGTGTTTGTGGTAGGGGGTGTGTGTGGACTGTGAGTGTGTTTGTGGGGGGTAGTGTGGGGGAGATGTGATGTGGGGGAGGTTGTGGGGGGGTAGTATGTGGTAGAGGGTGTGGGGTATGTGTGTGTTTGTGGTGTGTGTGAGGGGTGTGTGGGTGGGGGGATGGTATGTGGTGTGTGTGCCTGTATATATATCAACATGTACAAATACTTTCTAAGCCTTTTGAGATTAGATCTCTTACATTCCTCTAACCTTTAATAATAATGCTTGGGGAAAACTTCCTAAGAACAAGGTTATTCTCAGACATTAGACAGTTATCTAATTTGAAAAGAAAATGTTTTTTTGCCCTTGAGTGATAGGTACACAGGGGCTACAAGCCCATCCTCTGGTCTCAGCCCCTCCAGTGCTGGATTTCCAGCTAAAGTATCAAAGATTCAATGCTCTGTCTCTTCTAACTCCAGTCCTGTCAGCTGTCTACTAGTGCAGCTGGTAGAGTTGTACACTGGACTTAAAGGAATAGCATTTTCTTTTTCTCAATTTGTACTTCAATAAAGGAATCAATTGCCTACCTCAAAACATTAAAAACAAAAACTTACAATTGACAAAAAATGTTAGAAACCAAACTTACCTGTGTGCCTCTGAGCAGTGGCGTTACAGAGATGAAATCAGAAAGGGCCACGAGCAGGGTTTCAGTGTGAACTTTGGTGCTGGGCTGTTTGTACCTTCCAAAGCAAATATGTCCCAATTCAAACGCCACTCAACTAGCTTTGTCAGCAGAAAACCTTTCAACTATGTCTTTGATCACTGCATGGTGACAAGCTGCTTCCAAACTACAGATCCTCTGTTGCTGAGGTTTTAGATGTTACTGTCAGCTTGTCTGCAGCTCTTCAGTGTATCTGGGAGCAGGGTTGCTTGGGGGTACAATACCCTGTGGCCTCCACAGGTACGTGCATGCACATGGTGCATTTAAACTAATGCAGGTCCATACATAAATATAAATAAATCTTTTGAAATGACTCTTAAAGCTTTTCTTTTTTCTTTCTTTTTTTGGGGGTTTTTTGTTTTTTTGTTTTTTTTGTTTTTTTGTTTTTTTTTTGGTTTTTCATGACAGGGCTTCTCTGTGTAGTTTTGGTGCTTGTCCTGGATCTCACTCTATAGACCAGACTGGCCTCGAACTCACAGAGATCCCCCTGGCTCTGCCTCCCAAGTGCTGGGATCAAAGGCGTGCACCACCACCGCCCGGCTTCTTCATTTTTTAAAAAAATATTTTTTGTATGTGTGAGTGTTTTGCTTGTGTACCACATGCATGCAATGTCCATGGAGACCAGAAGAGGGCATCAGATTTCCTCTGGACTAGAGTTACTGACCTGTGCTGCCAGATAGGTGCTGGAAATCAAGTCCAGCTCCTTTGGAAGAGCAGCAAGTGCTCCTAACTGAAGGACTCTCTCCAGCCCCCAAAGCTTTAGTTTAGAGAGTGGGGAGAGGATGTCTCAGTGAGCAGCACAATCTCCTCCAGCCTGTGCCTCCAGTTTCAGGCTCTGGAACTGGCTCACACATCTGTAATCCCAGCACTCCTGTGGAGGTGGGAAACAGGGAGAGTAGAAGCACCCGAAAGTGATCCAACCATTTTTGCATTTGTCTGTCGTGACTCTAGACTCCTTGATCTGTCTCTCCCACTTGTCCTAGGATCTTGATTTCTTTTTAAGCATAAGCAGGTCTTCTACCTAGTAGCCTTTGCCTGTCCTGTGTTGGGGCCCTTCTCTGGGATGTCCCAGCTACTCCCCATCTTTCTTGAAGAATGGAGTATTGCTCTGCCCTAACCTGCCATGATGCCTTGTCTTTATCTTAGGACATATCAAAGAACTGCTGCTTCCTTTCCTGAAGCTGCCCCCATCTTCCCTTCCTAGGCACTAGAGCATCCTAGCTGAGAGGATAACAGTGGGCAGGAGCAGTGAGGGGACAGGGATAGCCCAGCCCTCAGGAGGGAGCCAGGGGGTCCAGGGTGAAGAGGAGGATCCCAAACCACAGAAGGTTTAACTACTTTCTCTTGCCTGTCAGAACTGTGTTGCACTTCTCTGCCACTTAAAGGTTGATTGGTTGGTTGGTTGGTTGGTTGGTTGGTTGGTTGGTTGGTTTGAAGACAGGGTTTCTCTGTGTAGCTCTGGCTGGTCCAGAACTCACTGTGTAGACCAGGCTGGCCTCAAACTCACAGAGATCCACCTGTCACCAGACCCTCTTAGCAACATTCACCTTGAAGTCTGCCGTCCCCTTTGCCCCCTCACCTCACAGCACTTCAGCCTACCACCCTTGTCGTCCGTGTCCCCCCACCTCACAGCACTTCAGCCTACCACCCTTGTCGTCCGTGTCCCCCCCCCCCCTTGGCCACTGGTCAGACTGGAAGTGCTTTGTCACTTGTCCTTGGTGGCTGGTGGTGTAGCAGCTTGGCTTCCTGCGCTGCACTCCTCCATCCACTACTGCACCCTGTCTCCTTTCCACCTCCAAAGTCTGCCCAGACCAACCCTCCCCAGGCCACAGTACCCTGGTAGTTCTAAAGGGGAGGCCAGACCACCTGCCACACCAGCTGCTAAGCTCCAGACCGGCACCTGTGCCCTCCCTGTACCTGTCAAGAGATGTTTCCAACAGAATTCCAGGAAATACAGTCTCAAGGAGAAGTCCTTGACTACTCAACTGCTCAGAAGTAATTGCTATTAGGCACCTGGGGTTTTTTCCTATCTTTGTTCTGTACTTATACATTTACATGGAAATATATTTGAAATATATGTATATTGAAAATGTATAACATATATAAAATGTATATTGAAATCTGCATTTGTATATTTTGCGTATTTTATTTGACATTATGAGTTCTACCTATACTAACAGATGATCACTGAAAATATTTTTTCAAGATAGATCTTATGTAGTTCATGTTGGCTTTAAACTCACTGTGTAGCCAAGGATGACTTTGAATTCCTGATCCTCCTGCCTCCACCTCCTGTGTGCTGGGATTACAGGTGTGCTTCCTCACACTCACCTTGATATTTAGCCTTTTTTTTTTTTTTTTTTTTTTTACTTTTATTTACTTTATTTACATTTTCATTTTGTTTAACTTTTTTTTTAATTTATTTTAATTTATTTTGCAATACAATTCAGTTCTACATATCAGTCACGGATTCCCTTGTTCTCCCCCCTCCCGTCCCCCTCACCATCCCCCCAACGCCCCCCCCCCCATTCCCATCTCCTCCAGGGCAAAGCCTTCCCCACAGACTGAGGTCAACCTGGTAGACTCAGTCCAGGTAGGTCTAGTACCCTCCTCCCAGGCCAAGCCAAACAATCCTGCATAGGCCCCAGGTTTCAAACAGCCAACTCAGCATTGTTTGTAATAGCCAGAACATGGAAACAACCCAGATGCCCTTCAACTGAAGAATGGATAAACAAAATGTGGTACATATACACAATGGAATATTACTCAGCAGAAAAAAACAATGGCATCATGAGGTTTGCAGACAAATGGATGGATCTAGAAAAAATCATCCTGAGTGAGGTAACCCAGACTCAGAAAGACAAACATGGTATGTACTCACTCATAGCAGGATACTAGACATGAAACAAGGATGAATTGTCTGCTACTCACATCACCAGGGAGGCTACCCGGATATTTAGCCTTTTGATGCACACTGCCTTCCCCTCCCCTGTAAGTGTTACACCAGTCTACCCTCCTGCGAGATGCGTATGAACGCGTCCTAGCATTTGGTGTCATCTCCCTGCTCTACTCCTAGCTCAGGACCAGTGCCCACAAACCGCTAGTGTTTGGGTGGCAAAGCCCCACACTCCAGGTATACAGGACCAGATCTCATCACCGTACAGGAGCTGTGTCCTCAAGGGTTCTGTGAGGACCAGTATGCTCAGTGGAGTGGTTTGTACAGAGTGAGCCATTTTCTATAACCGCCATGCAACCGTGTGCCTTAGAGCAGCAGGCTGCTTTCTCAGCAAGGGTTCGGGGATTTGACTTCCCATACCTGCACTCAAACCGTTTGCTTTTACTGCGTGTCAAGATTCTGCCCAAGATTACCGTTTGAAAGAGTCGTGTGCTGAAAAGGATTTGAAAGCTACTTCTTGTACTCTGTCCATAAGATTGCTCAGTCTGCCACTCCAACTGTGTTACCTTCTCTTGAGGGCCCTCCCAGGCCCAGCCTTGGGGTCTGAGGCTTCTTACAGGGCTTGCTCTCTGTTCTCTGTCTGGCCAAGCTTTCTGTGAAGACCCAGGACACACTTCCAGGAACTCTGTTCCACTGCAGTTGTTTCCTCCCAGTCAGACAGATCGCCCTGAGTGAGCTCCAAGCACAGTGCCTGGTACCCGTGAGAGAGGAACCTGCTGACTAGTAAAATAATTGGGAAGTGTCAGCCACTGCTCAGTTTGCACCCATCTGACGGGCTAAGTCTGGGATGGGACTCTTGGAGAATATGTGCTTGATTTTACACTTAGAGTTTTACTAACAAATAACCTTCCTCAGGCCGGGAAGGGTGGCGCACGCCTTTAATCCCAGCACTCGGGAGGCAGAGCCAGGTGGATCTCTGTGAGTTCCAGGCCAGCCTGATCTACAGTGAGTTCCAGGATAGGCTCCAAAGCTACACAGAGAAACCTTGTCTAAAATAAAATAAATTAACCTTTCTCCCTTCCTTCCCGGTCAGCTCACCCGGCGGTTGCCGCCCATCAAAGAAGCTAAACCTCGGCTACAGAAGCTTTTCCGGGACTTCTGGCTCTACTCTGTACTGATGGGATTCGCTGTGGAGGGCTCAGGTGGGAGCGGTTTCTCCCCAGGGAAGGGCTGAGTGCGCAGTGGGAGAAGCTACGGTCAGACTCATCCACCCCAGAGTCTGAGCCCAAATGTAGCTGCTTATTCCCACTTGTGCTTCGAAACATTACACTTCTACTGAGTGTGCCACGGGACCGTAGAAAGCTGGGGAGCAGACTTGTTTCTGTGTCTCATTGTGGGGATGATTGTCTCAGGGGACCCGGGACTCCAGAAGTTACCAGAGTCAGTGCTGATGTGAGACTTCTCGACTAGGTACCCAGTCGCCTCATATTTTCCTCTCTCTCTCTTCTCTCTCACCCCACCTACCCCATGTGGCCGCCTGGTCTGTACCTGCCCTTATCTCACTTCTGCCCACTCCCTTACAGGACTTTGGCCGGAAGAATGGTATGAGGGGGTCTGTGAAATAGCCACCAAGTCACCGCTGCTCACCTTCCCCAGCAAGGAGCCTCTTCGATCGGTCCTCCAGTACAACTCAGCCATGAAAAACGACACAGTCACTCCTGTGAGGACGCTTTTCTCACTCGTTAGACTGTCTGAAAGAAAGTAGAGCAGATCCTTTCCCATCCTTACTAACCATTGGGCTTCCTTCTGGGAGGGCGCCCTCATGAGCCTCCAAGTGTTTCCTTCCCTCCAGGCTGAGCTGAGTGAGCTCCGGAGCACCATCATCAACTTGCTGGATCCCCCTCCTGAGGTCTCTGCCCTCATCAACAAGCTGGACTTTGCCATGTCTACCTATCTCTTGTCTGTGTATCGGCTGGAATACATGAGGTACACGAGCCTTCACCTTCACACACACATTGAAGCACATTTTTTACTTTTGTGTCTTGATAGACATGGGGCTTTTGCAACTCCTTTCAAGACCTACAAGCATTTAAGAAACAAGCAGCTGCTGGGAAGAGCACACGGCTTTAATCCCAGCACTCGGGAGGTAGAAACAGGCGGATCTTTGTGAGTTCCAGGACAGCCTGGTCTACAGAGTGAATCCAAGGACAGCTAGAGCTGTGTAATAGAGAACCCCTGTCTCAAAAATAAATAAATAAGAATTAAAAACCAACAAGACTAGCAAGATGGCTCAGTGGGTAAAAGGAGTGCTGTACTGTGAGTTCAGTCCCTGGACTACATGAGGAGGAAAGGGAAAAACGTCCCTGAAAACTATCCTCTCACCTCCACATACACGCCGATAGATCTAAAAAAATAAAATAAAACTGGATGGTTAGTGTAAAGAAAACGATCAACTCGTGACCCACTACCGTCTCCCATAGTGTGTTACTGTAGCACCTCCCTTCCTCCAGAAAAACAAGCCAGCCGAGTTCTCGGCACACATGTGTGAGACGTCTCCGCCTTTAAAAAAAGAAAGAGCCGGGCAGTGGTGGCGCACGCCTTTAATCCCAGCACTCGGGAGGCAGAGCCAGCGGATCTCTGTGAGTTCGAGGCCAGCCTGGGCTACAGAGTGAGTTCCAGGAAAGGCGCAAAACTACAGAGAAACCCTGTCTCGAAAAACCAAAATAAATAAATAAATAAAGTATCATACAAAACAGTCCTCTTCTTCTACCATCAGATCCCAGGAACCAAACTTAGGTTGTCAGACGATGAAGCGGGTCCCTTTTACCCACTGAACCATCTGGCTGGCCCAGACAGGTTTCTTTATCATAAAAGTAAAATCCCAGTACTTGTGGAGCTAAGGCAGAGGGTTGGTATGAGTTTAGACCAGCCTGCACTACTTTGGAGACCCTGTCTCAAAAAAATGAAACAGGAGCCGGAGAGATGGCTCAGCTGTTCAGAGTACTGGCTGCTCTTCCAGAGGACCCGGGTTCAATTCCCAGCACCCACATCAGGTAGCTTACAATCTCCTGTAGCTCAGGTGACCCAAAGCCCTCTTCTGGCCTTGCAGGCACCTGCACACACGGCATACAGATGCATATAAATGTAAATGAAACTTTTTTTAAAAGAAAAAAAAAGCCAACCCCAAAATGACAGAGTGTACCAAAGGTAAAGAAAAAGAGAATGCAGGTTGGGCATGGTGGCACATGACTAATCCCAGCACTCAGGCGGCAGAAGTAGTTGGATCTCTGTGAGTTCGAGGCCAGCCATAGTAATTTCTGGACAACCCAGGGCTACATAGTGAGACACAGTCTTTTAGAAAAAGAATTCAGGTCTTACTTTCTTAGCCCCAATCCCCTCATTCCTGCTGCTCAGAGATGCCCATGTTAACTTGCTCACTTCCCTCAGTGTCCCCTGCACAGACACACGTGTACACACACATGTGCACAAACAGCCTTTAAGAAACCTGTCGGTGGGGTTGTACTGCCCCGTTCCACACATGTTATTCTTCTCACTTAACAGTAGATCGTGGGCATGTTTCTGTACGGTGTGTGTGAAGCTGCCTCTGCTTTTGGCAGTGATGCTGTGTCCTTCAGTCGGTGTGTTTCAGTTGACTTCCCCAGCCTCCTGGTGATGAGGAGTTCAGATTAGCTCTGTCTGGAGTAATGCAGCGTTTATTAAGGGTCTTGATTCTTGTGACCTCAAGATGTGCCCCTAGTGATGTAACTGCTGGATTGAAGAAGATGAAATGTGATGCAGATCACCCTGTAGAAAGTCCAGGAGTCGTGCTCCTGTACAAGACAGAGGTGCTGTCCTGAGCCAGACCAGGATAGTGCCAGGTCTCTGCTGGGAGGGTCGGGTTCTGAACTGTGTTCACAGCTGTTCTTCTCGTAGGGTGCTGCGCTCCACAGATCCTGATCGCTTCCAGGTAATGTTCTGCTACTTTGAGGATAAAGCTATTCAGAAAGACAAATCTGGTAAGCTTATTATTATGGTACTCTTATGATAAATTGAGTAGGAAAAAGAAAGAATATTTCATATTTTCTATTCACATAGAGAAAACAGTTTTATGAAATTACATTCTCCATTGGAAACATCTTCATAAAATATATAACCTTAAAAAATACTGCAAGGTACCCACAGAACCAGGGAGGCTATATATATATAGCATGGGGGACCCTAGGATGACTATGGCTTATAATAAGTTTTGGTTTTACTCAATTACTGAGCAAGCCTCAATGAAACATTTCACTATTAAGATAAGAACTTATACTGTATCAAGCTGATAATAGAAAAATAAATAAATTAATTTAAAAAAATAAAAAGAAAAATTTGAACTGTTAAAAAAAATCAAACACATATTTTGCTAAAGTAAAAAAAAAATACTGCAAGGTAG